GTTCTTCACAAAATATTACAGAGCAATTTACAGAAGCAAAATAAAACTCAAGGAACTATAAAATTCCATTTGTTCCAATCCAGTGAACACATCAACAGGTCTAAAGATATATTTTGTGTAATCAACAAAACTGACTTCTGTGACACAGTTGATCCAGGACTATATATCTACTTCACGGAAATGTGACTCTATCGAGAACAAATAGTTCTTTCATTCAGTAACACCTGTTTTTTTTCCCCCCCCCAGCATTCTCCATCTCTGCCTTGTATCCAGCTCATTTTAGTTTCTGGAACAATCTAATGAAGAGGCAATATTGATGATATCTCATTACAAACTTTTGTATAAACTTCCTTAGCAGCTTGATATTTAGCAATGCATTTAACTCCTCTCAGTTTGTCATTTTTGATCTATCAAGCCCACTTTTCCCAGGGTTTCATGGCTGAGGCTGGTTTAGTATTCATAGTTTTTGAGTTTCTAGGCCAGCAAGTGAATCTCACCAAGTTGGCTCTCTGGTTAATTGAACTTGAGATTTTTTTAAAAGTTTGCACTGAAATTAGCATGTGTTTTGACACACATTTTTGAAGCATACACATTTATGTTAGCAATATTCATAGATGCAGTTTTTTTCACACTGAAAGCAATTTGTGTATTCTTATCCTGAATGTATGCATATATAAGTGTGTGTATGTGTACACACACACACACACACAAATACATATATATATTTAAAAAAATTCTTTCATGCTGAAGTTCAGTGTAACTCACTCTGTATATCTACCAAGTATATAGACTTCAATTCATTAAATTCCCTAGCCTGCATGACTGCAGTATTGCTGAAAATTCTGGAAGTTGAAGATGACATACATCAGATAAACACTGTTCTGATAACAATACTCCTGAATCAGACTGAAGTCTATGTAGCACAGCATTCTATTCCTCACAGTGGACAACCAGATTCCTCAGTAAAGAAAAGCATAACTTTCTGTTCCACTTGTGTCCTAGCAACTGTTAATTTAGAAGCATGGTGTCCCTGAACTCGGAGATAGCATATAATCATCTTGACATGCAGCCACAGATAGTCTTAACCTCCACGAATTTGTCTAAATGCTTTTAAAAACTGCACGACTTAGCTAAGGTATTACTTCTTGTGGCCATTAACTCCGTATTCTAATTTGTTCGGCTGTGTGAAGTCTTCACCCAATACCTTTTTATAAAATGTTAACTGTGGGTTAACAAAAGTTTGGAATAATTAAGGGAGGGGTTTCCATTTTTCAAATGGCTAAAAATTTGAGCTGTTTCAGCAAAGTAAAAATTTAATTTGCAGATTAGAACTACTAAAATGTAGGACTCCTTTAAGTACAGTGTATCAGACCAGAATGCCAGTTTTGTTAGAACTGAATGCTTACAAATTATTAAACAGGCTTCCGCATTCAGGAAATTAAAAATGAAACTATAAATAATAATTGTTCAGTACAATCCATTATATAATATTTGGCTAATGGCATGTAGAGCTAGCCAAATAATCGCTTGGTCTTTAGTAGTTAAAATTAGTAGGTTACAAGCTGACATAGAAATCAGATGCACTTCACAGTCTAAAAGCGAGCAGGTTCTTAAGTAATTGACAGTCAATGGGGAAATTAACAGATTCACTTCATGAGAAAGAGATGAACAATTAATTCAAATAAAGATGGTGAAACAGGACATTTTGAGGGAAGATCAATGTAATCATACCTATTCAGCTCCAGTTAGAAAAAAAAAGAAAGTAAGTCAGTAGGATACATGACAAGGGTTCTTGCCAAGACAAGGAAATAAGGAATTCAGAGTAAGATTAAAAGATATATGAGTCTCTTCTCCAAACAAGCAACATCAAGGCCTCTTGCCTCTACAAAGAAAGTAGGAAGTTTGAAGATACATCATTCATCTATAGATAATCCTTGACTTATGACTTGGGGTTGGGAGTTACAATAGACTTCCCCAATGCTCAGAACTTCTGACAGCTGCCTTCCTCACCCACTGACCTCCTGCAGTTATGCCACCACATATTAGGCATTTAGCAACCAGCCCACATTTATGACCATTTGTATGGTCACATGACCACAGTTTATGAAGTTTTTGCCAAAAAGTGTTTATGGCAGTTAATCACGCTTAACAACTGCCACAAAAAGCTCATGAAATCGGATTGGTCAGGTGATGATCTACTTTACAACTATCATGCTTTATGAGCATAATGAGCAGGCTCTATTATGTCAGGAACTAATTGTATACCCATGTTAAAGGGAAGCATTTTTGCATGGACCCAACTTAATTTGGGAGTGATGGACTCCTAGGGCTGGAAAGGAGCTCGGAGGTGTTCTAGTCTAATCCCCTGCCCAAGGCAGAAGCCTTTATGTAGAATAAAGGGAATGTAAAACAATGATAGAGAAGGTTATGTTTCTAGAAAAAAGCTGGAAGGGGGGAGGGAAGTGGGTGGGGAGGGAGGATTGCTGGATGAGGAAGGAGAAAAAGACAAAGAATCACTTTCCTGGAAGTGCTGGGTGGATTTGACTTGGATGAGCTCTGATAGAAAATGGCGTAGCTGCTTTTGGATAAAGGAAAAAGATTGTGAGAGAAGTGTATCACACCTTGCTTTCCTCTGGCTCCTGGGTTATTATTTCTGTAAGGATTTAGCTAATAAAAAAGAAAATCAAAATTCTCCTACAGGCTTTTAGAAGGTCATCAATAAGTTATTAAATAAAAAAAGAAAAGGCAAATCTGGTTTTTATTTCTCCTATGTAGATTTAGGCCAAGGGAGAAGGATAAGGAGATTCTTTAGCACCATGGAACAGTGATGGACAGAATCTCTTAATTGTTGCATTGTCCTAACCCCGTGGTGGCGAACCTATGGCACGCGTGCCACAGGTGGCACGCAGAGCCCTCTCTGTAGGCACAGGTGCCATCGCCCCAGTCCTAGGCCTAAAGTGAAAAGGTTTTATAAAACCTTTTCACTTTAGGCCTCCGCCGCTGTGTACAAAAAAAAAAAAGGTTCAATCAATCAATCAATTTCAACTTCTTGCAGGAAAAAAAAGATCTCGCAAAGTTGGAATTGATTGATTGAACTTTTTAGTCCCACCCAATCTGCCGTTACCACTGCAGCCACGCCCATCCCAATGGGCCACACCCACTCAATGGGCCACACTTACCCAGCACCCGACGATACATAAGTGGGTTTTGGGTTGCAATTTGGGCACTCGGTCTCTAAAATGTTCGCCATCACTGTCCTAACCAAAAGATTTTACTGAAGTGACCAGATTTGGCAAAAGTCACAAAACATTGTGAATGTGGAATACTGGCTTTATAGATTATTCTAATGTCGCAAAATGAATCCATGTCATTTACATTCAGCATAAGGACAATAAGAGATCTTTCTGTGTATGTACATATACATAGATATATTTGTGTGTGTCCATGCAGATGCAGATACAGACATACATAAATATTAGCATTACTATTTTGGCCTAAATAAATCAATGGCAGTTGGACAAAAATTAATGGAGCAGGGAAGGAGAAAGAGTTCATGATGATGGGGTGCTCCCAGAACCACATAGCTTGCTTGTGTTTTTAAAACACAGTTTCTCTTGTGCCTAGACCAAGCTGGAATGGTAAACATTTGCACAGCCAACGTTACTATGATAGGGTTAAATGCAAAAGAAAAAAAATGCATGGAGTCTATGCTCCAGGAAAGAAGTATCTTTCATCAAAAACAGTAGCTGTTTCCAGTTTGGCTAAAATATTATTGATCAATGGCTCGGTCAGCAGGATCTACTTGAATCTGCTTCTGGTTCCTAATTCTTCCTGTTTAAGTAGCATTTGCTGCAAGAAAGGATATGGGCTTTTTTTTTTTAAGGGCAAAGGTTTACTAAACCAAAAGACACCAGATAGGGGGTATTGGAAGGAGAGGAGAAAATACCATCCTAGCACAAACTGCATTACAAAAACAATGATTAATGAACAGAAGCAGAAGTTTAAAGGTCATAATTCTAGAATGGCTTTCCTGCTGGCAGGAACAAAGATTGTCAAAGAAGCTGATAGAGCTTGATAGGATCTTTAGGCTCCTTCCTTTGTTTACCGAAAAGATTCAATAGAAGGGATGTTTGTACAATTTTGGTCACGTAAGTGGTTTGGAAGGTCATCCCTGGGTCACATTAATATCATTTTATTCTCTAATGCTACTAGAAATTGCTGAGCAAAGAAGGTCATAGAGGGCACTCCGCTTTTCTGCTAGACTAGCGTCAATGTGCAAGCCATCCATAACTTGTCTACTAGCCTCCTTTTAGTACATAATTGGTGCAGGTTTTTTGTACAGGTGCTGCTTGCTGCCAACAGAACTTTTGATCTCATTTCTGGACCAAAATATTGTGGTTGCACAAATCTTGAATCTAATTGGGGTGGATGCAATTCAGGGGGGACATGGTAGATCAGCAAGAAGAAGACTAAGCAGTACGATGGCTTTGATTGCTCTTACCTATGCTCTGGGTGTCATGCAGTAAGATCTTGTCCTCTTTTAGTCTTTATAGTTGTCTTTAAACCACTCAATAAAAACTCAAAATCTCTCTGTTACTAGGAAAGCTGTTCAAGCATAATTCCTTAAGAAGCTTTGGGCCCTTCTGCTTAGGGAACCTCTAAAGATAGCAACTTCACTTGTCTGTGGCAACATCCCTCCTTCCAGCTCTTAGTAAAACTATTTACAATTTGGTACCATTTTATCATAAAAAAAATCTTAAGAATAACTATCAGAATTATCAAGATAGAGGGGACTGTCAGGGGATTTCAATACAGCAGAAAGCATTTTAAAATATAAAATCTCATTTGTATAAATGCAATACTTCACTTTCTTCCTTGAGAAAATAACTTCCTCCATTGATGAGAAGCTCTTGAGATCAGTTGGCTCCTGCAGTATATAATTAATGTAGAAAAATACAATATGTTTTAAAATTGCAACATATACCTGTGCTTCTTTATAGTTGACTCCATTAATTGACGAGGCATGCAATATCCTGCTGAATAACTTAAAGGTCTATGCGGAATCTGGTACTGCTTTTGACATTCAAAGGTACTTTAATAAATTATCTTCTACTGGAGAGTTTTATTATCATTGACTTGCCAAATTATCCTAAATATGGAATATTTTACAAATGTTTTAATTTTTGGTACTTGTGTATCCAAAGCAAGACTGTCTATAAATTAAAATTTAAAAATTAGAAAGGAAATAAACCCAAACTCTAACTACATTTACATGTTATGATAACACATAGTATATTGCCCAGAATCACTTCAGTAATGAGATGGGGAGCATATACATTTAATAAAAAAATAAGCCTATATTACATAAACTCTCCTTTTACAAGTTACAAGTATGAGATCCAAAATACCCGTTTCCTAATAGGATTAACTGCAGCTTAACATTATGGTGACACTGTACTACGGTTTGTTGGAAGAAGTTGGATAGGTTACGTATTTATTTACAAAATATTGACTCTACATGTTAGCACAGGGGTTTCCTGTAGTTCTTCCCTGCAGATTTATTATCCAAGAGACATGACACATAGAGGAAAAAAAAGGATAGAGAAGCAAGAGAGGATGAAACCCACTCAGGCAAAGGTTCTGAAAGTTATGAAGTTCTTCATGGGACTAAATGTGACTTTTTTGTTTTGCTTTGCTGGTCAGTGACTGAAGTAAAATGACCAGTGCTTCTTTTGTAAAAAAAAAAAAAAAATGTGCCGGAACTCACACGTCATACAACCCGCCTTGCCTACCCTACAAGGTTCCATCCAAAAAAGGTGCCGGAACTCCGTTCTGGGCATTCTATGGCAAAAAAAAGCCCTGAAAATGACTGACTACTCCAAGGAACCAGCTTGAACAGAAGGAGTTTGGGGGTTGGACTAGAAGACCTCCAAGGACTCTTCCAACTTTATTATTCTGTATTGTTGTTTTATGATAATTTGGGTTCATTGTTAATAAAAATGTCTACTAGTAGTAAAAGAACATTTCAGGCAGGCTGATTCAATATGATTTTTTTTCTTAATTGAGAATAAATGAATAAAAACTATTTCTGGTCAGTATATAGTGATTTAAAAAAAATGTTTTAAGAAATAAAGTACTATTTAAAATGGCAGATAAAAGTGATAAAAATTATATTTTTTTAATCCACATATTACTGATTAATAACTCTTGAATACCACTTTAGCTATTTATTCTTTATATCATTTTAAAAAAACTTTAAAGCAATTAATACTACTTTTTATTTTTTAAATGAAAAGATGTTATTACATTCATTTCAGTACCTAGTGACTGACAACTTAATATGNAATGGCAGATAAAAGTGATAAAAATTATATTTTTTTAATCCACATATTACTGATTAATAACTCTTGAATACCACTTTAGCTATTTATTCTTTATATCATTTTAAAAAAACTTTAAAGCAATTAATACTACTTTTTATTTTTTAAATGAAAAGATGTTATTACATTCATTTCAGTACCTAGTGACTGACAACTTAATATGTAAAATGTTTTCATTGCCATTGACATCTTAAATAAGATCCATTCTGGAATTGTATTTGTGATGTCACATTCATAAATGCAATTATCACTTGATCTGGAAAGCATCAAATGATGAACCAACCCTTTGAAAATTCTGTTTAGAGAAAGGAGGGAGGAACTGATTTCCAGCTGTTCATAAGATTTCATTATGATAATATGAATGGTACTGCGTTTAAAACCATGTATAAGAAATTGTGGTTTCTCATTTTATGGTTTTAATGTATAGGATTTTTTTTCATAAAAAAGAATAAAGTTTAAAATTATCATTGAAGAAGCTACACATAGACTGGCAAGTTCTTATAAATAACTCTTGATGCTATGATGTGAATTTTAAATGCTTTGACGTAAAAAAACCCCTCAAAATGCCTTGCAGCAAAAAAAAATGTAATGAAAAAAAGGACATATTAACATCCACGTTTTTGAATTTGTTGTAGGAATTATGGCTGCTTCATGTTGGATATTGTTGCAAGTGTAGCTTTTGGTACCCGTATTGATTCTCAGAAGTCTCCTAATGACATTTTTGTTAAGTACACCAGAAGATTCTTTGAACCTTTAATATTTAAACCTCTTCTCATCCTTGCTGGTAAGTATATCTCACATTGGTGACCGCATCTATTCTTCCACATTTAATCCAAATGGATGATCAAAACATTTGAGAAATATCAGAGGAAGCTAAGAAAGATTCAAAAGCTGGCAAAATTTCTTAGCTCTTCTATTGTTAGCTATGATGTGACTGCACATCTATTTGCATTTAGAGATGCCTAAGCATCCTCTTAGTTGCTCTGAAAGGTGTCAAGTCTCTGGGAAAGTTGGGAGATAACCTTTGGGAGATATCAAATTTTCACAAAATTTTGTTATTTTTCCTTGATTTAATAACTGTAAAAAGCACAGAAGATGTGTTCAATGATCTTTGCTGCAGGCAACCATTCTCCACATCTTCTGTTCAATAGATTGAAATTACATGTAATACATTAATTTCCTGTTTCTATCATTCCTCAAATCCCATACATATTTGGAGAAGAAGCTTTCTGGGATCTGAGGAATGCTTTCTAATTGTCTTCTTTCTTCTGCTTCAAAATAAATTACTGGACACATGATATGGGTTAATTAAACCTGCAGGATCAAGTTGGGCTGAGATCCACAGATAGCCCTTGGTTTAATAACTACCCATTCAGTGACCAGTTTCTGATGGTACTGAATGACTGGCTGTCCCAGCACCCTTGTGGTCATGGGATTGCAAGCTGGGCCTTTGGTAACCTGGTCTCAAGTATTTATTTTATTTATTTATTTATTTATTTATTTCATTTATACCCCGCCCTTCTCCCGGAGGACTCAGGGCGGCTTACAGCCAGTTTAAAACAATCCCACATAAATACCAAATACAAATCTAAAATAATTAAAAATAAATATTTGAATTGGCCGCTCTATTAAAATTTTGTTAAAACCAATTAAAATACCCCTAGGCCA